CTTACTTGGTTACTAGATTGGTGGGTGTGAGCATTGACTGATGGATGAGTGGTTATCAATCCCTCTATTCTTTCTGTTTCCAAAGCAATGAAATCCTCCATTCACTGTGTTGCTTCTAAACTGGAACACAAGTCTGATGTGGTGCATATCTGTAATCCCAGCTACTGGGAAGAGGCAGAGGCTGGAGGATTGAAAATTTGAGGCCAGCCTGGGCAAGTTAGTGAGACCCTTTCTTTGAATGCAGTGATGTAACATGTGATTCTAGTATGCATGAGGCCTTGAGTTGAAACCCAGTACCACACACACACATACAAAAAACAAAACAAAACAAAAAAAAAACTTTTCATTTGTGGAATAAGTGAGTTTGTGTGTGTGTGTTCATACAATAACTACAGATTTCATTAATTGATAAGAAATGTGCTTACACCAACAATTCTGGCATACACTGAGATTTATTATATAGTTCTCTTTTCACCCTAATCTTGGGTTACAAGCATGTATTTTTAGTTTGTTTTAAAGTTGTATATTTTTTTTATACGTTTCCTTCAATTAATTTCCTTTTTTACATCTCATTTTTAAGACATTTCACTGGTATTTCTTTTTTAATGCCTATTGTGTTTACCAAGCCTCTTCTCTCTATTAATGAATTTTTATACAGGCACAATAAGAATAAATTAACAGGTGATTAGACTTTACCAGGAATTCAGCAAGTATTCTAGGATCCTGTTTTCTAAGATGACCAAGTAAGCCTTAATAAACAGATTAAATTTTGAGGCAAGTTGATTTTATTTTAGATAAGGTAGCCATATTGCAACTGCCTGAGAAATTTTATTTGAGAAATTTTTGGAATGTTGTGTAATACATATTATTTCCCTGTTTTTTCTCTATTTAAAAAACTCAATCTGGGCCTAGTGGTATACACCTATAATCTCACTATAATCCCAGCTACTCAAGAGGCTACAGCAGGAGGATCTCAAGTTTAAAGTCAGGCTTAGGAGACCCTTTCTCAAAAAATAAAAAGGTCAGGGAAGTTAGCTCAGTGGTTAAGTGCCCCTCGATTCAATCAATTCCCAGTATCCCCCACCCCCTGCCAAAAAAAAA